TGTGAAAGAGTGCTCTAGTGGCAATCTCAAATTTCAAAATATGAGCTTATGTAGTTCCTTGTACTCCATGAGTTTATAAATTTTTACATTTGGATCCTCTGCTTTTACGTGTACTACTTTTTTTATTTGAGTTTAGTTTTACTTCGGCTAAATACTTTGTTAGCTATTGGCTAAACTTATGGAGCATTTTTTGTCAGCATTTAGTTTTTGACTTGACTAGTTCTAGTTGTAAATCTTCCAAAGCCAAGCATTGAAGTCTTGCTAAAAAGGTCTTTTCTTTGAGTTCGTGTGATTATTGTCCCTTTTTCAAGCCCACTTTTCTTAGTGGTGAGGTTTGATGGTGGAAATTCTCTGTAAGACATAATCTCTGTGCTGTTGTTCAATGGAGCTGATTAGTATAGCAACAGACGTCGCACCAGCAATCCCTAGCAAGTTTTAGCTGGTGGAAAAGTTACAATTAGAGGATGACACGTAAGCAGGTCTGCAGGTGCACTGTGGCGTGGATTTATGATTTTTACTCGGTTGGACTCAACGCAGATGCTAGCAGAGAGTAAGAATTGCCTGCTGGCTTCGTAGCAATGAGAATATTCAACACCACAGGGTAATTAAAGCAAACATCGATTTTTTCCTGTTAACAACTCTTGGCTGGGTTTCTTTTGTCGTTAGTGTTTCTAACATTCCTGTAGCATTTAAACAGTACAAAAATTATATTTTTTTAAGTGAGTTGTAATAAATAGTAATATATTGGGAATAACCTATGACTTCAATTCTGCTAATTACACCTGAGGAGAAGATGTTAGATATGCCCATAGAAGTGATGCATATTAGGTCTGCTTTCCTTGCTCTATGTTGTGATCTTCCATTTTTCTGTCTCATGTTAGTTTGCAATAGATAAGGTTCTTGATTAATTGGTTGGACAAATTAACCGCACCAATCCTGTTGATGATTATTAAGATGATGCCTCAATTTCTTTGACACAACTTTATTTATGAGTTACTGTCTATCTTGTTTGGTGTTGCCTTGCTCCCTTCAGTTTATCTTACTACTTGTGTTATTGTTTGAGGCCATCACCTCACCACAATGGCTGATGTTCAATGAATAATATAACATCTCCCGGCGTTGCCTATCCACCCACAATACACCACAGAATTTGATGTGAAGAAGAAGAGGGCCTCTAGGAGTGAAGTCAATCGATGGTCCATAACAATTTGCAGAGTTGGCTGTGCTAAGACGGGAACCAGGTGGTTGAACCAGTCCAACCTGGTTTCATACGGCTTATGGTTGACAGCAGCCTGAGCCCTTCTCATTCCAGTAGTTTAACAACCCAACCCCAAATCCAGCCTGCCATCCCACTTGTATTGAACTGTTTTGTGTTTGAAAATGAAATCTAAAATGGTAAATTGGACATGCCTGCTATCAAGTTGTCATCTGTATTTAAAATCTAAAAATAGGTTGAATCCTCTGAATATTTTAGGACAGTTTACCAATCAACTCCTGGAATCTCTCCTTCAGTTTGCCTCAACTCTCACCAAAATTCTCGCCTCTTTGAGAATTTTGTTTCCAAAAATATTTTTTGTGTGTGTGTGTGTGTATTCTCCTGATTTTCATTACCAATTAGTCAATTATATGAAGAGGGAAAATAGTTCACTGGTTTAAATTTTTAGTGATGCAGGATATTATTTGTCAGGTATGGATTCTATTAAAGTGAGAATCTTTGAGCTTTATTGGGAGTTATTACAGTATTTCTTCTTTTAAATGTCCCAATTTTAAGTGTTTAATTTAAATCCCTAGTAAATACACAGCTTGATTGCATAAAATTTTCAGCAGTGATATGTATTCAACTGTTTTTGTGTACCGTAGATTAATTTTCCTCTAATCTCTCCTTTCCTACCCTAAATCATGGATACCATTAAGTTTGATTCTAGTTTCCTAATACGATGTAAGAGTTCTTGCTGGTATTTTGCCTTGATTAAGTCAAACTTCACTACGTTAATCGTATGCATAATGGGGAAACCTTCATATACCAACCTGTATTTGATCTGTAATTGTCATGAATGTGTTGATATTCTTTTTAGATGACATTCTCCTATTTTTCCTCTCAGGGAAGTTTTAAGCTTCAAGACATCCCTTCGCCAATTTTGCCAGATTCCATCTACTCTCTTTGCTGGCTGCAATTGTTCAAGTGACGAGGACTTGGCCAAACCAGAGAGCATACAATTTTAGCCATTTTGAAATGGACTACTCGGTTGGGCCACATGTGATTGTTTTATGTTTTCATTTACATATAAATAGAGTGCAAACTTCACTGAATACCTCAAATGGATATAGTTGCATTTTTGTTGATTCTGGCAGTGTCCATTGTTTTATGTTTTCATTTGCATATAAATAGAGTGCAAACTTCATTGCGTACCTAATGTGGTTCGTTGGTTATAGATGCATTTTAGTTGATTTTGGCAGTTACTTTTGGAAACCTGTGTTGATTTAATAAATAATTGATACATTTCAATCATGACAATTCACACATGTTTGGTAGTGAAAAATTTTCATCAATGTTTGAAATATTGAGTCTGTGTTTCATCATCCTGTACAATGATCGCTTGTGGATACCACATTCTTTTTTAATTGGACTTCAAACAAGCCCTCACATGGTAATGGCGTGCATATTGTTCTTGCAACACAAGTTGAAAGAAAAAATTATGGGCATATAGATTCTCTGTAGAAGAGCATGTATGTTTATTTTGTTATAAATGGTCTGATTCTCAAATTTCCTGTATGTGGAGAACATGTTGATAGTATCAAAGTTACACATTTGTGTAGTGCACTTGCCTGGTGAAACCTTCTTTTGGATATTATTGATGAAATTTGAAAAGACTATCAAATCCTTTTAAACTATGATAATGTTTATGAATTGGCAGTTTTTAGGCTTCATCTCTGCCTTGGCCTTGCATGAGTGTCTAGTTTGGTCCTGAACATTTATGCAGAAGTTGGGAACCAGCAACTTTGACAGAAGTGACGAATATGATTTTTTAACTCCAGTATCTCAAAATATGACATATTGTTAGTGATGTGGAAGTGTGGTGCAATTGAGACTATTAAAACGCTGGTTTTGCTTGGAAGTTGGAATTCTGGCTGCTTAGAAAAGTTACTAATGAAGATAGCAGATACACTTGCATACACTCTGCATATTTGGAGTTGTCCTTATTTTTTACTGGATTTCAATTAGTTGATTGATATGTTTAATTTACTTTGGTTACCCAATTCTTTCTTATCAAGTTATCATGTAAATGTGCATCTCTCTGTGGCTACTTGATTAATCTTGCTCTTGATATTATCCTGTTCAGACTTGTGTTCTAAAGGTAAATCTCCACTGCACGGCATGTGAGAGGACGATCCATAAAGTGTTAAGAAACATAAATGGTAATTGTTATTCCAAGATTTTTTTTTCCTTTTATCTCCCGTTATACCAATTTTGAAATCTTTCCCTACTTTAATTTCTTCCAGGAGTTTGTTCAATTACCATAGATGGTGAACATGGGAAGGTGACTGTCTCAGGTACTGTAGATCCACACACACTCATACTGGCCCTCAGAAAGGCTGGTAAAAAGGCAAAGCTGTTGTGGGAGCACTACTCGACCTACAACTGCCAAAACAAGAGCCTTCAAGCCTCCCCACCAGGACCAGCTCAAGAGATTGATGCACAGGTAAGTAGCCAAATGGAACAACTGCGCCAGTTATCAAAAATTAATGGGGTGAAACAAGTGGAGTTGACTCATTCCAAGATCATAAAGATGACGTTTGAGGATCAAAATGATGATTTCGGTCAGAAGAGTAACACCCAGAATACCATGATCATTGTGGATGATGTGCATGGACCTCGGACTGTCCATGGTGGTGGGCCTTCTGGAGTTGCTGCTTCAGGCTGTGATTGTCATGATCAGGCAAAAACCAACTCTCACTATGGTTTTCACGAAGTTGCCGGGCCTTCAAGGCCCAGGTGTGTGCACCATGAAAATTCTAATGGTTGTGGACTACCATCAGCATGCAGGTGCTCTCCTCCAGGGCCACTGCCTGCACATTATCATGTTGCGACTGGACCTTCACTGCACTTGCTGCCCGTGGCATACTCGCATCCTAGCATATTTAGTGATGATAATCCACACAGTTGCAAGTTGATGTGAGGTACTAGAATCAGCTTTGCTTTGACTATTCTTGTGTTTTTTTCACTCTCCAAGTGGATTTCTAGGGGTGGGGTGTTTGGGTTGGGTCTGGCTCCTCTGCAGTTAGTTAGTTTATAACTGCAGAGGTGCGGTTGAACAAAACGCCGTTGTCTTGACAACCAGAACGACCGCGGAGGATCCTCTCCCGCCTGGGTTCTTCAGTTTCGTGTCTTATGTTAATGTCTGTCTTCTGAATTTTAATTGTTGATATGGGACATGGGACATGTTATGCACGATTAGAGATGAGATGAACTAGGCTCTGTGTCAAAAACTACATGCCTAACTTCCGAGATAGTTGACGGGCCACGAATCGAGATCGACTAGATGCTTCAATGAGAATTGAAATTGCGGTAAATTTTGGTCTCAATAAGTCCGAGAGAATATTCAATTCAACGATAATAACATGGTATAACTAATTAATAATAATATAAAATTTCAAATGAGCAAAGTAAAATTCACTTAAGTAGTTATTGACTTGTTCCGATGAATAATTATTTATTTATATGGACAGATTATGTGGGGTTCATTTCTTTATTTGTCTGTATATAATTAGTTATTGCCGCATAAATATTTTTTCCAATAAATAAATGGAAGCATGTATAAGTTTTAAGAGTGGAGGGTGACTACCATTATCCCATTTCGACAAAAGTTTGTCAACATGATTGGATACAGAGTTGTTAACACACCTAATTGCAAACTAACTAATTTATTAAAATCTCACTTGATTGAACGGCAACTTACCTGATCGAATTGTGATTTTTGATACAGTACTAAACACAGAATCTATTTTAAGTTATTGTTTGTGGTAAAATTGAAGTTACTACACGTAGTTCTATGCAGCAAAACTGAAGAAGAAAAACCCAGTCTCTTCAACCCAAGATCAAACTGCAAAAGATTATCCTCCATCTGATGCCCTCCAATCACAATCGCTGTCCTTGGATTGGCCCCACCATCCACAAACCCCAAGCACCACAAGTCTACACCTTTCCTCACAATCCTGACCATCGAATTCGATCCAAAGATCCTCCAAAACACATCATCACTCTGCATCACCAGATCTACGGTCGGAACAGCCGGTCCCACGAGCGTACTCGAAACGTCGTCCGCATTGTAACACACCCCGATCACAGGCTTTGTTACGGTGAGGTTCAACGCAGCTGATTCATTAACAAACGCTTCCGTAAACGCCTTATAAATAGGCGTTTGTAGGACTGTGTACGGAACAACGGTGCTGATCTTGGTCCCACCAAAGCCATTCTGATCAATGGTCATGATCGTCTGATTAATGGGTACGTTATTTCCGTTGACTTTTATAGAAGTCACACCAATAAAGTACTCATCCGAGGGGTGTAGGTAGTACGTTATGATGGTGATCCCTACTGGATTCAAAAGGAGTGGAGTGTAAACAAGTGATTTTGAAAGGTCAATTTCGGGCAAGAAATAGTAGGGTCCATCAGAGTTAAAGAAAGCCACGCCAGGAGCGGAGGGTGAACCGGACAGGCACAGCGCAAACAAGTAAGGAGAAGAGAAGGCTTTGCTAACCTGCGCCGGAATCGAAAAGTTGGACCGGCCCAGACCGCCAAACCGGTGACTCCTTTCGCGAGTCCTTTGAGTAAAGACGTTTTGGAGCAAGAGAATACGAACTCGGGGATGAGACCGAGTCGACCCGGGTTGCGACCGTCGGTGGTGGGCAAAGCGAGCGAGTCGACGAGTGCTTCGGCTATAATGGCCTTCCGGGTGACTGAGTTTTCGGAGAACATAGCACACGAGTCGTTGGCACAACCGGGACCGGGCGGGTTGAAACAGTTGGAGCAAGCGAGTGAAGCGATGGCATTGCAGAGAGAAGAACTGCATGGGATGGAGTGGTACGTGGTGGAAGTGTAATTTTGAGTACAGTCGACCCAGCTGAAGGAGGCTCCTAGATCTAGGACCAATTTGGTGGGTTGAAGTGGGGTTTTCAGGTAAACTGAGAGTGTGTACTGACGAGTGGTGTGGTCTTTCGTGATGGGTGCGAGAAGAGCTGAAAAGGAAGAAGAAACACAGAGAGAGACGCAGAAGAAGAAGATGAAGAAATGTGGAAGAGACATTTTGTTAGAGTGTAAGTTTGGAGTTGGAGTTGGGGTGGAGAGGTTTAAATAAGAAGGATTAATTGCAGCGGAGGTAGCGTCTCATTTTGTTTTTCAATAGGCTATTTTAAACAGATTGCTGTCTATTTTGACTCCAAAATTACTGCAAAACTCCGCAAAGTATATTTTCTGTCTCATTTTAATTTCTTAATATTACGATAAAGTATATTGTTGTATTTTTTGGATCAATTAGACATCGGTTCATCTAAAATACTCTCCGTTTGGGAGTCCCAAACAAGGAAGCACATGAATAAAAATCGTTAAAAATTTAAACGACGTTATATGTGAAAATTATTTAAAAATAAATTTAATATATTAAGGATTAATGTGATGTAATTATAATATTAAAAAATAAAATGAAATGAAGTAAAAATTTTAAGGACCACTGCTGCAATTAACCTGAATGAGAACGGTTGAGAAAATGGTTGCATGTCAACGAAGAGGCCAGACAGGAATTCAAACTAAAGATAGGCATTGGATTTGGTTCTTACGGGGGAAGAGTTTAAAAGGGTGTTGGTGTTATCTCGGTGACTACATCCATAGTTTTGGACAACCCATGTGGGTTCGCTTTTTCTTGCTTGAACTTGGATTTGATAAGTTTGAAAAAATAAAAACCTTGGATTTTATAGCTTTTTTTTTTTTCAGTCGGCAGTCAGAATATTCATGTTAATTTACGTATATTTTGACTAATTTTTTTTTTGTCTGATCAAAGACAAATTATTTATGTCGAAATTAAGATATTCACAAGACCTAACTCAAAAAAAGTTACTAAAATTCAAACTTAAAACGTATGAATTTATAACTCATCCTTGTTATTAATCAAGTTATTTTAGGATTAGCGTCAAGAATACTAAACACTATATTTTTATTCAGAGATCAAAAAAAATAAAATTAATTTTGCGGCGCACACAATGCATCTACAATGTAATGTGTGTGTAACATATAGGTGAAATATTTTTGGTGCGGGGTTGATGATCGGCATCTGTAAGAGAGAGTTAAAGTGAACCTGTAGATAGATAGAGAGGCAGATAAGAGAGACGTAAGAGATGAGAATCGTAAGAGGTGATCTAGAGTGAGAATTGTTTTAAGTATAAATTGGGGTAATGATCTTTCACAAAATCACGTGAATGGTAAAGAAATAGTCAATTACTTGGGATGCAAACTAGACCATGGAATTGAAGCTCAATTATACAATAAACAATTATTTAAATATTTTTAGCAATCAATGTGTAGATCTGCCCGGCCCCCATCTACCCACCACCATTATGTTCCCCTATTGGATCTAAAATTGGAAAGTGGGAAAGACTAAAAGCTTTCGTATTTTATGGGTGTAGACATTGAAAAATTAATAGATAAAATAATATTTGATCAAATATAATTAAAGAAATTGACTTGGGACTTAAATTATATAAGTTTCAAATTTAATTAAATTTAAATTAAGTAGGATTTGTAAAGTGACCAAAAAGTACATCCTACGAGATGTGACTCAAACTCATGTAGGGGTATTCATGTAAAATAGTTTTATATGAATAACTATTATTGACTCCATAAATAGAAGACCTAAAAAACAAAGAAGAAAGATCAAGGAAGTTATATCTGATCCGTACTTCGGAAAAAAGAAAAACTAAAAGGGTCTTTTGGAGGCGGTCTCTTTATGTAAATTTATTTAGACTTAATTCCACTCAAAAAATTGTTTGAGAATAAGTTTATTTTTATCTCCATTATCTAAAATACCTTAAATAATTATATTTAATCAAAACTTATTTGAAAAAATTAATAATTCCTAAATTGTGAATTGTATTAGTACTAATAATTTATAATTTGAGAATTGTGCTAGTATTAAGATTATTTTTCTATTATATATATGGAAAATACTATGTAATTCAAATTTGCATCCAAAATGAAGGGGGACCATTAGATCAATGGGTTTCATTTAAAAAAGTTGATGGGATCCACTGATCTAATAGTCGCCCTTTTTTGAAATACAAATTTAGGTTATATAGCATTTTTCTATGTATATAGATATGATAGAAAGATAATTTTAATGCTAGCACAATTCCTAAGTTATGAGTTGTTACATTTGAAAACATTGAAACTAACAATAATAGACAGTATTTATGATAGGGCTAATTAGGTAAAACAAAATAAAATAAAATTTGACATGTGTACTGAATGACAATAATTTAATGAAAAAAATGAATTAATTGAGTATAAGTCTGATTGTGTACTTAAAACTAGATACATTCTAAAAAAATACCCACTGCCAAACATATGAAACAAAAATTATTGTGTTTTTTGGAAATCGGTATACCTAATTAGACTTATTTGTCAAAAAATACATAGAATAAAATATTTTTATAAAAAGTACACAATTGAGTTACAAAGACATAAATGCTTATTTTAAGGTTATTTAATTCAAAATCTCTTATCTTTAATGCACCTTGATTCATGTGTGTTTGTTAATATATATATACTAGTTATTGTCTGTGTCTGAAGACACAGAGTAATAAAAAATAGTAAACAATAAACATATTTGTATTTATATTCAAAATCAAATCACAAATATAGAGAAGAAATAAAAGAATTTAAGCATCGATTTGTAGTGGGGTGAAAGGTGGTAGGCGACAATGGTGGTGATAGGAGATAATGATGGTTGTGTTGGGTGGCAATGACCATGATGACAACGGTAGTGATAGTGGTGGCGGTGATGGTAGTGGTGTTGGTGGCGGTGATGGTGGTGGTGACGGTGGTGGCGGCAGCGATGATAGTGGCGGTGGTGGTGAAGCGGTTTCAAATATTATTATTTTTTAAGTATTTATGATATGTAATTTCAGGAAGTACTTTTAAAAAGTCATTCCAAACACACCGTTAGGAACTTTTTTTCCTATTAAATTTAAAGTGTTAATATTAACCGTTAGATTAACTTTAAAATAACATTTAAAGCGATCTCAAGCGCGAATAGTAAAAGTCATTTTGTTGATCTTTTGAAATTTGAATCGTAAGCTACTTTATTATATAAATATATACATACACGTATATATAAATATATACTATATATATACGTATTTATATGTATTTGTTGTCAAATCACTAATATACTATATATATAAATATACACTATATATACGCGTATATATATATATATATTGTATCCTAAAAATCTAATATTGGTTTGGAATAACTTAATTTTGCTAGCTGAGATGACTAAACCATTATGTGTGGCAGTCCCTAGAAAAGCATGAAGGTGTTTCCAATGTTCATCTATTGTTTTACTAAAGATAAGAATATCATCAATGTAGACAATAGAGCAATGGGATAAATTAGATAATATATCATTCATAATATTTTGAAATTCGCTTGGTGCATTTTTAAGACCAAAAGGAACAACATTCCACTCATAGTGCCCAAATGGTGTGGTAAAGGCAGTTTTATATCTGTCTTTCTCAGCAATTTGTATTTGCCAGAAACCAGATTTCAAGTCGAATTTTGAAAATATCATGGCATTTTTTAATCTTTTGATTAGGTCTTGCTTGTTGGGGATGGGATATCGGATCCATTCCAAAACAGCATTCAGAGGTTTGTAATTGATTACAAGCCTAGGAGTTCCTCTTTCTAATTCTGCATTTTTTACAACATAGAAAGCAGGACAAGACCAAGGAGATTTAGATTTCCTAATGATATTATTTTTAAGAAGTTCAGAAATTTCCTTTTTACAAATTTCCATGACTTCATGGTTCATTTGGATTGGCCTAGATTTAGTAGGGATCTGTTTTTCATTAAATGTTTTAATATAAGGAAGTTCGACTGTATGTTTTTTCCTATGCCAGAAGGCTGTAGGAAGCATAGAGCAAACTTCATGTTCAAGTCTTTCTTTGAACTGATTAATCTTCTTATTTAAGATTGGACATTTTAGTTGTTCTAAAAGTCTTTTATGATTAATTTCTTGTTTAAGAAAATTTATCTGGCTAATTTTTCTAAGGTACTTGGAAACAGATTCATCTTTAAGTTGCCTGAGTTCTTTTACTTCAGGTTTGAGTAGGAAATTAAAATTAACCTGTTGATTAAGAGGTCGGGTGATTAATCCTTCATTAGTTATCTGAAACGGGGTCAGAAGATAAATAAAGGGTAATCCTAAAATCACTTCATCAGTCATATCTTTTACTAAGACAAATGAGGTTTTAAAACAAACATTGTCATGGCAGATATGAGCGTTAGGTAATTTATATTCGACATTCATGTTTGTACCATTAGCTGATTTTAATTTTTGAATGGTTTTTTCATAGTACTTGGTTGGGATAAGTCCTTCTTGCATGCAGTTTACATCTGCACCTGTATCAATAAGGGCTACTGTATTAATAATAAAATCATTTGCTATAATGATTTTGACTTGGAAATACCATTTTTGTAATTTAATTTCTTTGATAAAGTTAATTTGATTTTCTGTTTGTAGACACTCATCGTGAGATGGCAGCTTCGTTAAACCAGAGTTTTCCACATTGAAGGTGGAGGCTACGGGTATCCGCTGGGAAAGTGTCTTAGTTGAATTATCAGTTTTATCACTGTCAGATTGGTAATTATCTTGAGGTTCTTGCTCAAGAGTGTCGGATAAAAGACTTAATTTTTCTGCCAAGAGTTTGTCTTGTGCCTTTAAATCTTTTATTTCAACTTTTAATTTATTAATTTCACTATAAAGATCTTGTAAGGTTAATTCTTTTTTCTTTTCCTTACTAAATCTTTCCATAGTTTTGTTAATACTAATTAAAGGTTTTTCTATTATAAGATGTTTGTTTTTTTCTGTTTTGACAAACAGATCCTTAAGATTTTTTATATATTTAGATTTTAATTGCGGTTCTTCAATTTTACTGATTAAGTCAATTAAAATTTGTTCTTCAGTTTGTTCTGTGATTACTCTTACTTTTTTACAACAATTGTCATTACATCCTAATTTAATATCAGGTTCG